AAAAAAAAAAAGAAAGAAAAGAAAAAAGTGATTAAATAAAAATTTTTTTAAAAAGAAAAAAAAAAAAAAAAAAAAAAAAAAAAAATAGAACAAACAGATCTGAATCAACCAGGCTCATACAAGTAGAGTGTGGTAAAGTGGCTTTGTGCTTCTTAGTGATACTTACTTTCAAATCCCAGGATACTAGTTCAAATCCTTGCAAAAAAGATTTTTTTTTCTCAAGACTAATCCCATATTAGCTATTGAAAACTGTATTTTGCTTAATTTATGTCATTTTTTATATTGTAGTTCCATCTTGAAACTGATGGATTAATCCATTACATTTATGAATATGAGTACAATATTACAGAAAGAAATAAAAGAAAAAAAAAGGTGGTACAGTGAAACACAGTACCTGTGGAACACATTGACTCATATGGTGTTAAAACATCCGATACAGTCAATGATTAACCACATTCTTTTGAACTGTGCCTGATTTTCTGAAAACAGCAACAAAGGAATGATTGTCATTAATTGCTAATTCACATTAACAATTAACCACAGATTAATTTCAAAGTACTTACTAACACTTAGTATTATATTATCCTCTAATAGTACATTATGTTAATATCATTAGTGTATCATGAATATGATTGTAATATTAATTAATCAGATTTTGAGTTCTATCCAAAATTCAGATAAAACATGTTATTGTATCAATAATTACTACAGAATAATAGAAAAAATAGACCTGTTTTAATTTTTTTTTATATTAATAATACTGTATATAATTGCTAAAGTTTTTTTTTTCAGTTTTAACTTTTATTTAAGTTTAAACACTCACATATAGCCTACTGATTTTATGAATTATAATAAAGTACCTCATGGCAAATAACTACAGAACTCCTACACTACACTATTGAACATGTGTTAAAATTGATTATTAAAAACAGAACTACTAAATACAGTACGTGCATATGAAACACAAAGGGGGCATTAAGCCACTTCCAAAGGCAGGATGCCTCAGACTTTTAAACATGATCATTTTGCAACTGGCCAATAGGAAATGGTAGTGTATATAATTAAGACTGACTGAATTTGAAGTGCTCTTGTCTGTGCTTCCAATCAAGGCCAAGTCTTTACTACACTTAAATGAGTCTTGTACAGTACTTCCGTAGGTATTTTCCATTTGAGTGACTGTACTACTGTAGATGGTTCTGGAAAAACTTAAAATATCCAGGTTCCATGAAACAATTGGAATAATTTACAGCATCGTTTTGGGAATATCTTATTGACCATTCACATAGTGAACAATTCTAGAAAAAAATCTCACATACTATTTCATAGTGTTATTTACATTGTATTATGTGTATGTTTTTAGATACTGCATACTGTACATAGGCTACTTTCTCTTAACATTTCATTTTCAATGTGTAATTTCATTTGGCTGGCTTTAAAAACACCAATAAATTTGTATTGAATAGATTGAATTTCCTTTGATGTGAAACAATAAACAAGGATAAACTATGAAAGTCCAAAGACTTTTTGAATGAATACCGGTATGAATGACTCACATAGCACCTTCTGTTGTGGTGTAAGCTTCGATATTTGTTTTAATTGTTTACACTCCCATTTGGCACATAAATGTTAGTGAATCATTGATTCAATTTTACACAATAAATGTTTCGGTTAATAATGACTTGAACGCTCCTAAAAGAAAACACATTTAAATGGCATGAAAAGCACAGAGATTACATAAATTAAAAAAAAAAAACAAAACAAAACAAAAAACATACCAGTAACTCACAAAAAAAATGACTAAGTTCTGAATGCCAAAAAAAGTATTATAATACGTTAATACATGGAAACATTCACATTATAATTTCGCTGGCATCCAACTATGCTGTGATTAAATATGCATCGTCAATTAAAATTAGAGTAATTTTCATATTATTTTTTTTCAATTAATGGCTAATGACTTTTAAATTTACTGTACAAAGTATGTCTTACCTTGACCTGATGGAGGTTTCACAAATATTGGAGTTCTGGTCACTGCACCACATGGAGATCTAGGATCATTGAGTGGAATAGGGGTACGTGGACAATTTGGCGATCGTGGATCCTCTAGGAAATGTTCATCGGTTGGCGTCACATTCAAATCTGTTTCACAAACACGCAGCGTTTCTCCCATGGATTTCTCGACTGCAATAGGTGTCCTGTCAATACCGGTTGTCGGCGATCTCGGATCCACTAACAACTTACGGTGCGAAGTCGGTGTACAATTGCCTGTCACACTCTTGCTTTCAAGTCCACCCATTATATTGATTCTTGAGGGTAATGACGATGGCCTTACTAAAACTTTCTCCTGTTGGTGCTGATTAAATATCTCTGCTGATGTATTACGTCGTTTACTCTGTCGCCGTTTCCTGACTAGAGAGTTACAGAAACAAAGAATTAATGTTTGCTGGTTTTTCGTTTTTGATGAGACACATTTGTTGCTTTCTGTGCCGCACCTCTCACAGATTTTTGTTGGCGCATATAAAGATTCATCTGCTGTGATGTGTACCATAGTTTTATTCAAATATTTTTTTTGACTTGAGAGGAAGAAAAATATGTGAAGTGAGTCAAACCACGTTGAAATTAACTGTGTAGTAATCCTATTGACTCAGCACCCCAATGAGGCAGTAGGTTATTTTCTAACCAATTGTAATGCCAGTGGGAGTGGCTATACCAAATATGGTCAATGATGTCATCAATGTTTGCTCAAGCATACCAACTTCCTGGTGTGTCATCAACACTGCCAGCAGGTGTAGATTTCACAGAACACACTGTACAAACACAAGCTAGCTATTATTACATGGTGTTACAAGATAACAATGAGATGCTGGTAGTCAGGAGACAATCATACTGTAGGATACACTTTTTTTTTAAATTTTTTATAAGAACACTGAGGCTGAAATTGCTTAAAAATAAGAACAAAATAATAACAAATTGAGGCTGAGGTAAAATGTTTTTGAAAAACAAAAAAAAATTATATCTACCTTATGTACAGTAATGTAAGTGTGACTATGTAATACCCCCTATAATCAGGTGTACTGTCATTTGGGGCCATTTTTACCAGGCCTTTTTTCTGGGGCAATTTTTCAAGGGTATTTATTCAGGGCCCATTTTTGCTGTACAATAATAATTGTGTAAAAAAGTGTGTAAAATAAGAACTAATTAAGAACATTTTGAGCCTGAAATCGGCCAAAAAATAAGAACACTGAGCCTGGGCAAAATTTTACTGGTTCTTAAAAAAAAAAAAGTGTAACATAATGAGTAATTGAATTGAAGGGTAAAAAAGGGGAATTGTATACTGGAGGTGTGGTACAGAACAGCAAGAGAGTTGTTACTATAATTAATACAGGATAAATATGCATAAAACAGTATAAGAAATAACAATGTTTCTTGAGAAAACTCCTCATCCACCTCCTCCCACCCCACATGCACAAAAAACCTATTAGAATGATGTGAATATAATTTCTTTTTTATCTTTTTAAATAATTAATTTTAATAATTTTTAATATTTTTATTATAAAAGTTATGAAATGGCTTCTTTTTAGGACCCTTGGGTGGGCTTCTTTTCCTTGATTTTTTTCAAGATTACTTCTGCAAACTAAAAAAGGAGGCTTCTTTTCAAATGAATACTGTCAATATATGTAATTGCTACTATAAAACCATATTGGACTACTAAAGACATTTTTCAACCATGGAATTTCAAATTCTGTTGAATATATTTTTTTTAATAATCTTTTTTTTTTAGCTCCAATGAGAATCTGTAGGAATACCTGGGGGCAGATGCAGAGGGTGCGGTCGCATCCCCCTTAAATTGTATTAAGAAAAATAATTGTTGTATTGTATTGTTGTAAGGATTGAGAGTGCAATTTCCCGGCACCTTGAGGCAGGCGCGGATCCAGACCTCTTCGCACCGTTTGCCAATATAAAGTATATAAAATATATAGACAAAATAAACTTTTTGCATTGTCTAATCAAAGAGGGACTGTAATTAAATTGGCTACGCGATAACGTACGGTACACTGTTGAGTTCTTTTATCATTATTATAATTTATGTCACAATGTATGGTTAATACAAAGTCAATCACAGGGAGGATAGGCTATACATGTGCGTTGATTCCTATAACCTTATTGAAAGGCATTATACTGTATTTATACAGTATAATTTTATTATATTTTGCTATTCCAAAATTACACCAAAGCAAAAACATATTATTTTAATTATTACTTTTTGATTAATGAATTATTATTTCATTATTTTAACGAATGCTATTCATTAAAAAATAGAAAAAAAAAAGGGAAAAAAAGTCTTAAATTGAGTTGGTAGCCTAATTGTAGACCTAGAACACACTTAGATACAGTACATCTAAAAATAAAGTCAAAAATGACCACCGAGTACTGAGAGACTGAAAATGAGCACAGAATCTGAATAAGAGCAACGACGTGAATAGTATTAAATCAAATCAAACTTTATTTGTCCATTAAAACACAGGTAAAATGGAAATTCTTTTTCCACTGGCAAAGAACATGAAACATCAAAAAAACATTGTAAAAACATTAAAACACATCAAGAAAACATTGTAAAAACATTAAAATACACCAGAAGGAGAACAGTGACTAAAATTTGGAAAGTTTTCTAACAATTTAAAATAATTAATAATCAGATTCATTTAAAACATTTTAAAATGTAAAATTGCAAGCTAATTAAAATCACTCATTTTCGTTTGGCATTTTGGTTGAAGATACGTATTGCGTTAATTACAAATGAGTCCCTGTATCTGTTGTGTCGAATACGTGGAACATATAATCTAAAACCTGAGTGACTAAAACTGAAACAATGGTGAAGTGGATGGGTGTCATCTTTCATTATAGTTTCTACTTTTTGTAATATCATTTTATTGTGTATGTTTACTATGGGTTCTAATTCCATGCCAATGCATTTTTGAGCTGCTGTTTTGATTTTTTCAAATTTCTTTCTGTTCGTCATTGAGAAACTACCGTACTCACATATTATGCCAAAAACTAGTGGAATTGCACACCAGTGGAATTGCACACCATTGGCAATTCCAGGGAGTGGATAGGGTGACCAGCCACTCTTAAAATATCTTTAGATCCAGGCTATGTAATATTTTTAAAGACCCATTCAACAAACAACATAAAACAAAATTTCCACGTCAGTGCATGCATAAAACATATAATTTCCCGAAATTTGGATAGCGACTTCCTCATAATTTAGGCCTAAGGAAATATAAATGATGGGACTGAACTGTGTACGTGACAAAGTATTGTTCCTTATGTTGTGGTCATATTAGAATATAATATCATTAAAGAGCATTCAATAAACAACATCAAACTTTTAGGTTAAACTTTCCGCTTACGAGCATGCATATATAACATAATTTTTTAGATATATGATATTTTCAAGAAAGTCGAGAATGTATTGTAGATACAGTAATTACTGTTGTCCGATTGTCACTGAAAATGTGATGACGAACTCAGGATATGGGCCTCGGTTGACACTCATATCAAAGGGCCTGTTAATTAACCTTGCACAGGAACCTGTCGTCACCTGCTACGAGGCCTCTTCCTCCTTATTTTCATAATCGCAATATAATTGGCAAAATGGGGGAGAACTATTAATTCAGTGACAGTGTGTATTCATTGATCAATAATATTAATAGAAGTCTCGTAATGCATGTAAAGTGCATTTCTCAGCATCTAGAAAAAACTAATTATTTTTTCAAATTTTAAGATATTTTATTTTTCAATTTTAACACATTTTAATTTTGTACCAATGAGCACCCTAATTATTATTCAGTTGGAACCCGACCAGGTTGCTTGGTCATCACTAAAAAAAAGGTACAGCATAGGCCTAGATAGATAGGCCTACTTACTGTACCTTTTGAGGAACCATATTTTTTATAATTACGGTAAAAGGCAAAATTACTGGAAAATGTAAGTGGGTATTCATATAAGTTCAAGAAGTAGGCCTAGGCTAAGTAAGGCCATAGCCTTGCCTAGCCTGCTAGGCCCTAGGCCTACCTCACTAACTAGGCCTCTAGGCTAGGCGGCCTAGCTAGCCTGCCTGATTGATCGTTGAATTGTGAATTTAGGCCCTCTAGGCTAGGCCTACCTGTCTACACTAGGCTATAGGCTGATCAAATGTAAAGTTAATAGGCTAGAGTTATATTGTATAAAAATGCAGAGCAACCCTACCTTTAAGTGTTTAAAAAAAGGATTACTTTTAGCATAGCAAATGTCTGCACAGTGCTTAATGTTTTGAAAAACTGCAATTTTTAAAGTTCCCGCTTTGAACCAATCAGATTTCACATTCAATGCTATCTAATCTAGATTGGAGATGCTGATTGGTTCCCAATTGACCGTAAAGGTCATAGGTTAAAGTGTGCGAAACAAAAGTTCGAGAAGAAATTGGGTAAAGCAGTGGAAAAACAAAGGATAAAATTTAAGAAATAGCAGCATGGTTGAGGTTTTGTCGGCATTCGTTGATAAAATATCTATTCCTCAAGGAGGCGATAAGATATATAAAGATGAATGTACATATTCGTTTGAAAATCCGGTAATTTATTATTTAATTTATGCCCAAAATTTCGTCCGAATGCCAAGTCATTCATTTACACAGTTTCTCAGTACAGTAAGAAGGCCTACTGTACATAAATACAAGGAGGTTCAATCTAGGCCTAGGCTTAGCCTAGGCCTACTGTAGGCCTAGTTGCTGATCGATCTCATTTAACTTTTAGCTATCTTTAACTGGGATTCCTTTAACTAATAGGGCATGGCTTCATTCTGCTTTTATTATATATATAAAAAACTCATTGAAGTAAAATTAAAACTGAATTGTAACGTAAGTAGGCCTAAACATTCTTTCTGCTAAATATCTATTTTTTAGGCCTAGCCTAGCCTTGTGTAGTGATTGTACTGCCTAACTTTTCAGTGTTACTAATATTCAGTTTCAGGCAATGAAAGGTTAAGGACAATCCAAGTTACCTTCACTAAACACCACTTTATATTTGCGTAACATCATTGGCACAATAATTTTTTATATTTGTTCATTGTTTTAGGAGAGTGAAAATGGATTATATGTGTGTATGAAAACATTCCTTGGGTTCGGTAAAGCCCATGTTTTGCGTCATTACAACCAGACAGGGAACCCTGTGTACCTCCATCTGAAGACTATAAAAAAAAAGGTGAGGCCATGGTTCTACTATATTAACAGCACTGGGAACCACTGAAGCGTAATACAGTACAAAATCTTACCACCATAGATACTGTAGAGTAGGTATTTGGATGCAGATCAAATGAATCAGATTCAGAAACTTCTAAAATTTCTTTCTGAAATATTTGGACTTTTTCTTCATCTGGAAGTCACTAATAAGCAACAAAGCAAGTAGGCCTAGGCCTACTGTACCTATTATTTTAAGTGTATCATGACCTGGTGGTGTTCAGAGTAAAGGTAAAAAGGTAGGGAATAACCTGTGATAAAGGATATACTGGCACACAAGCCGATTGTATACAGATGGTTTAGAGTCCTTATCTGAGAAATCTTGGGTTTTGGGTCTAGCATCTGAAACCCAGTTGTTTCTTTTCAAACCCGTGCCAATGATATTAAGGGTGAATGTAGCGGCACCCCAGCCTCACCGCTCTACTACTTGACTCACTCGTGTAGAACTAAATACCTAGTCTCTAATCAGTCTTAAGGTGCTTCATAATGTATTTTGTAGCTCCAATTAGCAGCTCTAGGAGTACCCTGCTGATTGATTTGTAATAGGCAATAGATCTTTTTCCTAATAGATCTTTTTTGTACAGTATGGGCTACCATTAAGGGCCAATTATATTTATTTTTATTATTAGGGGCCAAATATTTTTATTATTATCACCTCGAATGAGAAGCTTTAAAAGTACTTGGCAGATTGATTAGGCGCCAATTTTGAATGATGGACGTGCAGAAAATTTTGTACACATAAACTAGAGGTGATCTCCGACAAACGCTCATGGCCCTTTTTTAAGTTGCACCCTAGTGTGCTCCATACACACAAACACAACAGAGTTTCAGCAAGGACTGTACATTACTGCCATTACCACTATTATACACGTCGTATAGATGGCGCGGTTGGTTAACTACGGTATGCCTTCCATGCAACGGTTCCATGCAACAAAGACCGTGAGTTTGAATCGCCTCTTGTATTAAATTGTTAATTTTTTTTTTAAAGACATTTTAATTTTGTACAAATTATTTAATCTAATTTAAAATATACTCTTATGAGAAGCTCTAAGATATGCTTGGCTGATTGATTGTGAAGTGCGCCACCAATACCAAGGAGTCTACATACTGTACTGCCATTACTACTAATAGGACCTGCCATATAGATGGCGCCGTCAGTTAACAATGTGTTCTATTGAACCAAAGGCTGTGAGTTGGAATCGCATCTTGGTATTCAATTTTATTATAATTTTTTTTTTTTTTTATGTTAAAACATTTATTTTTTTTTCAATTTTAAGACATTTCAATTTTGTAAAAGTGAACATTCTAATTGTTAAAAAATTTCTATCTCAGCTCTTCCAGTTTTCATTGTCAAACAGCTTTCAAATAATGTTCATGGATACAAAAAAAATAAATAAATAAACACCAAGGTGCGATTCAAATCTTATAAAGAACCAAATAAAAGTATTATTACATTTTCAACTCCGATGGAGAGCTCTAGACACACTCTACTGATTGATTGTTTGATTGATTGATTGATTGAATGATTGTTTGATTGATTAATAGATCTTTTTTGTATGGGCGGCCATTAGGGCCAATATACTCTACTGCCTCTATTATACTGCCCTCATCGGAGCTTTTGAGATTACGAGAACTTGTTATAGTTAAAGTTGTTAGTTTTCATTTAAGATATTTTTTATCATTGGTGCACCTCTTGAGTGGCGCTGATGTAAATTGTGTCTGTACATAATGAATAAATTATTATTATTATTATTTAATTTCTAATTATATTTTCCTGATAATTGTTGATATCGGCTTTTTGAGCCCAGCTTTAAAAGTTACAAATATATTTTAATTGTAAAAAAAGACTTTATGGGAAATATTTACAGTGAACCAAAAACTAATAGAGTTACAGTACATAAAATAAGCTGTGGAATTGCCTGACTGTTTTTGTGTCTGATTGACCTTCATTAATAATCTTTAAGCTAATAATGTTTCTTGTCTTTACTTTTATCAAATGACTACACCTGAATATGTTTTCTCTCACAAGGTAAACAAAGCACCAGAAACAGAGGAAGAAAAAGCCAAACCAACAAGGCTTGCTATTGGTAAGTGACTTGAATCTTACTCTATATAAAAATGAAAATACATAGTTTATATTATAATATTTTTATATATATTATGTGATGGTATTGAAAATACATTGTTTTTTGCTTATAACCTGTGTACTCGACATACATACATACACATTGTATGAATCTGACATCAGTAAAACTACCCCAAGGAGATCAGTATTCAAATATGATGTATTCATACAGTATGTGTATGTGCATCATATTTACCGATTTGATTTTATTACAAATACAGTTGCCAACTCAGCAGATGTTTTTTAAGTTGTTAAATATAAAATTTAAATTGTTCATATCTTTTCCATTATTTAGGGGTCGAAGGAGGATTCACTGGTGATGACAGCAATCAGTATGAGTATGAAGAGAATAACTCAATTGTGCTTCTCCCCGACTTTCTGACGTTTTCTCTCCCGGATGCTTCTCTTCCCGAAAAGGTAAAATCATCAAGACTGCTACATTCTTTTTTCAAATTTAAACCACTAGCAAGTGAAACTTAATAATTAACAAATAATTAATCTTGACAATTGGTTGATCAGTAATAATATTTACTTCCTCACCATGCCTTCATTTGCTTAAACGTATTCACTGACACATTTGCAAAGTCTCAATATGTATTCAAATTTTAGTAATTCTAGGCCATTTGTAAGCACATACCTGCTATTATCAGATCTTGGATGATCCAACAATGGTCGTCTCGCAGGTGATGGTCATGCCAATGGCAGTCACGCAGGTGATGGATATACCAATGGCAGTCAGGCAGGTGATGGTCATGCCAATGGCAGTCACGCAGGTGATGGTCATGCCAATGGCAGTCACGCTGGTGATGGTCATGCCAATGGCAGTCAAGCAGTTGATGGTCATGCCAATGGCAGTCAAGCAGGTGATGGTCATGCCAATGGCAGTCACGCAGGTGATGGTGATGCCAATGGCAGTCACGCAGGTGATGGTCATGCCAATGGGCATATTACATTTATTTGTCGTGTCTGGACAGAACTTTAGCCTAACAATGCAGTAGTAGGCACATCTGATGTTGTCATACCAATGGCAGTCATATATTTGATGATTTTTACCAATGGCAGTCATATATTTGATGTTTCTACCAATGGTAGTCAGATCTTTGGTGTCAACATCAATGGCAGTTGCATCTGTGATTATCACAGAAGTGGTTGCCACATCTTGTATGATCACACAATGATCACATCTATATTGGTGATACATATTAAATGATGATTTCATCATCACATTTGTGAATTATCACAGACCTGTGGTGGTCACATCGGTGGTGATACACCAGCATGTCTTTGATGATCACACCTGGGAATTGCATCTACTGTACATGTTTGTAATTTTTTCACTTAACCTCATGTCTTGTAATGATCACATCTTTGCAATTGTCTCACTTATCCTCATGTCTTGTAGGTGCAACTAGCTGTTGCTGGTATACTCTCGGCAGAATCTGCATCCCGCATGGAACAAGTTGCAGCCTGGGATGGAGAAAAACGTTTTATTTCAAAGTAAGTTTAAATCACTAGAAATCTAGAAATAAGTCTCGGCATTTACAAATTTATGAAGACGTTTGGCAGTAATGAATATGGAACACTTCTGATTTAAGATATGAGTATTGCACTAGATTTTGTGTACACCTGGAATTATACATATAAGTTACTGTAGATGAAAACCTATTCAAAACCATATTTTTTTGTTTAAATTTTCTTAGACATGCTGAGAATTTCAAGCAGCTGGACAATGGTGTGAAGATACCTCCGACTGGCTGGAAGTGCGCTAAATGTGACCTAACTCAGAATTTGTGGGTGAACCTCACGGACGGAACTATTCTCTGTGGACGTCGATACTTTGATGGAAGTGGAGGAAACAACCATGCTGTTGAATACTTTAAGGAGAAAGGATATCCCCTGGCTGTCAAGCTAGGCACTATCACTCCCAATGGAGCAGGTAAGAGCATGAATATTTATAATACAAGACCTTATTAGAGCTTTGTAGCTATTATAGCAAGAGCTACTTTAACACTGGAGGTGTATCTGATTGGATTGGATTGGATTTATTCGGTGTAAACACCAAGGATAGCCCACGAAAGTCTAGAAGAAGAGTTACTTCCAGTGAGGTCCTTCTGGTGGTGATTGGGCAGTACACCGGGAGACAATCCCTACTCTTTTCCGAAGAGTGTACTGCGTATTTTAACATGCACATGGGCCATAATGCACTCGTGACCAACGGCTTAAACGTCTCATCCGAAAGACGGTGCGCTATTGTAACTTGTGTTTCAGCCCTCTAGCTGAAACACAAGGAGAGGCAGTGATGAGAATTGAACTGTGGACTTAGAGATCTCCACGGTTCAGCGCACACACAGCAGCTATCACCAGATTAGCCGACTGACCTAAGCTGCTCTCCGAACCGAAACCAAAGTTACTATCATGTGATTTTCTTTCACTTTAAGAAATAAATATCTATTAAAAAAAATCTGATTTTCTGGTTTAAAGAAGTTAATAAATGTTGATTTGAAAAGTAATAAATTATGAATATTCATCAATATATTATTAAAATAATTGCACTGTTGCTATAATAATTTGAGAAAAACATATGTACCCATCGGAATTTGAACCCAAGACGTTCGGATACTCTATTTAGCTAAGATAAAGTAACTTAATTTGGTAGTACTTAGTTATACTATAGTAAGAATAGTATACAAATTGGCATGTTCTACCATGGTCAATATGGAAATATTTACAATCCATAACATTGTCGAGTAGAAGAAACCCAAGTGCAGTAGTAACTAGATCAATAGGTATTGAAAATTTAACTTATGAATATTTATACATTTTTACTTTAGTTCCAGTAGTTATATCTAGTTCGATTATAATAATAATAATAATAATAATAATTACTTTATTTAAACACGGAAAAACTTGATCACCCAAGGGTGTTTTTCATCAAGGCCGTGCAAGGCCATAAGTGGTAAATTATAAAAATACAAAATACATTTATAACAAAAGTATAAACATTAAAGAATTTGATTAAGTACAGTAATAAATGTGATTAAAATGTGAAATTAAATAGTATCTTTAGTTTAAAATAAATCAAAAACATATACATTAATTAATTAAATATACATAATTGATTAATTTAATATCAGAAGTTGGATTATATTAAAATGTTTTCTTTAAATTTATTAATATTTTCTGAATTTCTATACTCATAATTTAAATTATTCCATAACTTAGCACCATGATAAGTTAAACTTCTTTTTTTATATTCTCTTTTAGGTTTTTCAGTATATAAGACATCCATTGTTCTTGTATTGTATTATAACCACTTGTTTGATTGGTTAATGTTTGTTATTAGATAAGTATATAAAACATATTTAATTGGTTGCTTTTGTTAAACAGTATGTGTGTGTAGAAACATATTTGAGTGGTTAATTGTTGTGGAACAACTTGATTGATTAATGTTCGTTATTAGATAAGTATGTAAAAACATATTTAATGACTAACTAGATCAATAGGTATTGCAAATTTAATTTATGGATATTTATAAATTTTGACCTTAGTTCCAATATTTATATGTAGTCCGATTATATAACCAATTATTTGATTAGATAATGTTTGTTATTAGATAAGTATATAAACATATTTCATTGATAAATTTTGTGAACAGTATGTGTATGTATAAACATATTTGTGTGGTTAATTGTTGTGGAACAACTTGCTTGATTGGTTAATATTCGTTATTAGATAAGTATGTAAAAACATATTTAATTGGTAAATATTGTAATATAGTAGGTAAGGACAAACATATTTGATTAGTTAATTGTTGTGTAACAACTTCTTTGATTGGTTAATAGTAGATGTAAGGACAAACATATTTGATTAGTTAATTGTTGTGTAACAACTTCTTTGATTGGTTAATAGTAGATGTAAGGAAAAACATATTTGATTAGTTAATTGTTGTGTAACATCTTCTTTGATTGGTTAATAGTAGATGTAAGGATGAACATATTTGATATAGTTAATTGTTGTGTAACAACTTCTTTGATTGGTTAATTAGTGTGTAACAACTTCTTTGATTGGTTAATTGTAGATGTATTCTCTTATGATGAGGATGACATGGTGGAAGATCCTAAGTTGGCTGAACATCTCTCACACTTTGGTATCAACATGATGTCCATGGAAAAGGTGCTTTATGATTTCCTCTTGCTGTTTTTTGTTCTCTCACCTTTAAACAATGTATCCTTCCATCCTGTGATTAGGAAAGACATGTTTAGTACTCTGTTAAGCAAACATTATTTATTAATATCATAATAATATTTTTATTTGATAAAATGACCTCCGGTCATTAGATCAAACTCCTATATGGAACACATGCTCAGGTTCCTGGGGAGGTTTCCATAATGTTGCAGCTGGTAATCAGCACATTGTATTTGAACTAGCAGGTACCCACTTGTAGTCCTTGAGAGACAAGAGACTGCCTAGCCCAAAAACACAGTGAAAGGTTGAGCTCTTGACCTCAAGGTTGCAAACTATTGCATCAAACCGTCCAATGAAACAGTAGAGGTCTGAATATACTAAAATGAAGATTTTTGTGCACAATAAATGTTACTGTAAATGATATGAAATTTCACAATATTATAAGGAATTATTATTATCATTAATATTACAAAATTATTATTATTATTATTATTATTGCTTATCAAGTTGACTCTTATAGTTGTTGTCATTATTATATTGTTTTCTATGTCTGCCACCAGACTGATAAAACAATGACGGAGCTTGAGATTGATGCCAATATGAAGATATCGGAATGGGATGTCATCCAGGAAGCTGGCAAAAAGTTGACTCCGATGTTTGGATCTGGCTATACTGGAATGCGTAATCTTGGCAATAGGTAAATCAAAATAGATTTCATATATTTATATTTTTTTCTACTTTATAATTTTGTGGGCAAATGTTATTACAGAATATGAATGTATAATTATCTTGTAAAGTATATGATGATAAGTTTAAATGTGGTAATAAAAAAAACAATGATATTGGTAAATGGTGCTGATGATGATGATGCCAGAGGGGCAACTGCAACATTGAAACATGTACAAATAATGATTAAGATTAAAGGAATAATTCGAAGTAAAATAAAAAACTGAAGTTGATATATCATTTCTATTCTACATTATATTATCAATTTTCTTTCAGCTGTTATATGAATTCTGTCATGCAAGTTATATTTATGATCCCAGATTTTATAGATAGGTAAGTGTAATTTAATGAGGCACCTCGACTGTACCTTTGGCAAAAAGTAATTTGTATAATCCCATCCTTATTCATCCCTCCTCTCCATCACCCCAAAAATATTCTTGTATTTTGAAAATCGATGCAAAATAATAACATAAAGTCTAATAAAACTTTTCCTCACCATCTCCACTTCATTTTTCTGTTTTTAATTCTCAAAAGATTGTCTCGTAAAATATTTCTCTATATCAACAGTATTTCTGCTTTATTTCACAGATATCCAAAAAACATGGAAACCATTTTCTCTGAATGTAGCAATGATCCTGCTTCAGATTTTACAGTGCAAATGTGAGTATCAAGGAGAGCTGTAACTGCAGCGCTGGGGAGTGACGCTATAGCTGGAAAAAGCGCTATAGTCTTCAAGTCTAACAGAAAAAATACAATATTATAAAATATATTACTATCTCTATAATTTAGGGCAAAACTAGGCCATGGCCTGTTATCAGGTGACTACTCGAAAGAAACACTGCCGGAAGAGGGTGAAGATGAAACCAAAGAGAAGGTTAGACTAAATCTCCTATTGATTATGTAAATCTGGTATAGATTATGTAAATCAGCTTGATTATGTACATCTGCTACAAATCATATTTAGATTTTTTTTATGTGAGTATATAATACATAATCTGTTTCAAGTCAGCATCTTCGTAACTTCTTCTTTATAGAGCCAGGTAGGTATTGCTCCAAGGATGTTCAAGTCTCTGATTGGTCGAGGTCATCCTGAATTTTCCACCAATAGACAGCAAGATGCTCAAGAGTTTCTTTTGCACTTTATGAATATAGTCGAGGTAAGAGCTCAAACAAACGTACTAAAAACCTAAGTGAGTTTTAGATCTAAGACTAGTAATCTGGTCGTCATTGTGAGGCATGTGCACGTGTGGAATCATATCCTTAATGTTTGAATACCATTGAGTTCAGTCATCTGAATGTGAAAGCAACATTGAATCAGTAAGGTAAGAGCTCAAACAAACATACTAAAATTATTACTTTATTTTATTCGAATTTTGTGTCTTCCTACCGTACTTTACATGTGGAGGCGGTTTGGCGCATTGGAAAGTCGGGGTTTCAATCCTTTGCTGTGCATTTCGCTTGTGTCTTTAAGCAAGACACTTTATCTACCCAGCTGCATCAATGGGTATTAACAAAGTTGCTGGGGGTATCATTTAGTGGACCAGCATCCCACCCAAGGGAAACATCATACTCATCTGCTTCACGCTATTTGAAACTGGGGATAAGCTCCAGCCGTGTGGGCCCTATTGATTCGGCAAGTACGTACTTAATAACATACTGTACATACAGTACCATAATTTGCCATATACTATATCTTTACCTATTAATTATAGCCCGGGTATTCAACCTTTTTAAGCTGGTGGCCAGTTCCAATCATTGTGTGCTTCCACATTTGACAGCCCCACTCATTCTCTTCCTAATATGTGTAATGTAGCCTTTGTTTTTCAACGTCAACTTGTAAAAAAAACGGAATGCAGTAGCATATAATGGGTGATGGGTGGAGGATAAAAATGAAAATTTCACTTCAGCCACTAGAAATTTTCTAAACACAAAAAATCCACTAAAATACTAAGTAGTTAATAACAGACAAGGAGTGTAATATCCCAAAAGGGCCACAATTATTCCAGTCCCACATGGTTGGGGATAAGGTGAGCAAATTCTTAAAATAGATGCCTCTAGATACCTGGAAATGGCACTCTCATACTGTAAAAATATGTTTTCAAAACATTGTTTTCAACAGAATGACATGCCCCGCGCCTGCTCCCTAGATCCGCCGCTGGCCCTGCCACTGTTTTGAAGATGCATCATGTAATGTCAGCGCACCTCACCTTATATTTCATCTAATCAGTCTCCCCCTCCCCATGGTAATAATTATGCCACTAGATACCGCAAGTTGCACTTTGGAAAAGCCAGACTGAAACCCTTGTTAACAATGCCAGAGTAGGTGGTCGTGTTTCTATGAACTGTTTCCATAAGTACTGAAAATTGGCCAGAAATATGATTTATTGTTAGCAATGTCTCACGGACCGGATCAAAATTTGTGGTGGGGCGGGGGTTGAATACCAGGGATTTATTGTAAAACTATCTCCCGCTTAAACATTATATTTAATGTGTGCATCTATTATTGTGCCTCCGTACTTGCGTTCATACCATACCAAATGGTTACTAGTGTATACTTATTTGTAGTTAGCAACACTGTTTACACCAAAAAAGTAAGCATATATATCTGAATGAAAATGTATTTATACTGTTTTTGTATTTCATGGCTCATAGATAATTATCATATGGTCTGAGATTGCTCGTCATTTCAGATCTAAAACTCACTAATCCTAACACAGTGACGCTCTTCTTGGCATCTTTAGCCATTTTTCTGCTGAAAATATATTAATATTGGTTTTTAAATATTTTTGTGTGTATGTCCCATTTGGATTTCAGCGAAATACGCGTGGATCCAGCAATCCCTGCGATTGTTTCAAAGTACAGCTGGAGGATCGGATTGAGTGCTTGCAATCTCAACAGGTGCGATACACAACACGTTCCGACTACATGCTGTCTGTACCAATTCCCATAGAGGCGGCTACAAATATAGGTATAGAGAGATAAAATTGAAAATAACCATGATGATGGAGATGATGATAATCTTAATAACAATTACAGTAATGGCAATAATAAGACTAAAATCATTAGCACATGCATGATATGTGTTTAAGAGGGATAGTTGTTTTGTTGTTTTTAATGGTTAGCCTCATTTATTGTAGTAAACTTGTTAGTATTTTATGTATATTTTTTTATAGTGGTTGTATATAATTACTAGATAAGAAAGTATAATACATACTCTAAGTATTGAAATACACGCCATCGTGTTGGGATTCAATATTTCGACATTAATTATGTCATCATCAGGAAAATATAATTACTAAGTAAGATAATTATGTCTACATTGATTCAGTTTTATACTGAATCTCTTCCTCACTTTAACATGGATTTACTTCTTTTCTGCTGTATTCATCACTAAATTCATCATATTTTTGTTTTTGCTTATAATAATTATTTTTAATATTTTAAAGATTTTTTGTAATTTTGAAAATTAATTTTCATTTCTTTTAGATGAATTTGCTGCCTATGAGAAGAAGAAGAAAGAACTAGAAGCAAACAAAGAGTCTATTGACCCTAAAGAGGTCGTAAGATTACAAATCCCATTTACAGCTTGTTTGGAAAAGCTGACACAACCAGAAATTATTGATGATTTCTATAGCTCAGCACTCAAAGCAAGATCCACTGCAAAAAAGTAAGCAATAGCAATTTCATTTTCTTGGTAGGCATTATGATTATTTATTTAATAGCATTTTTGAACGTGGGTAAATTAAGGCACAGGTTGGCAAAGTGTGCCTGAAAGTGGTTTTTTGCGGCCCACGAATTAATTAAAAACCCTCAAACCAACCTTTCACTAGAAAACGCTTGGTTTTTTATGGCCTGATACAAATCATCTTTAAAAAATGAAATTAAAACTGAGAATAAAGTGGTATAAAAGTAGCGCATGAAAGTTTTTGAAAGTGCACTGCAAACATCGAAGTTTGGGTGCCGCTCTTTGTGTTAAATATGAAATTCACTTAAGGGCCTTCAGACCCATTTTATTGCCCACCTCTGACTTAAGGCCAACTCATTCAGCATTGTACAACTCAGCCCAGCGCGATTTGTGTAGCGTTGGTTCTTTGTAAGTTAAACACTGATACGATAGGTCTGCGGTGGGAACTGTCACGTCATAGAATAATAATCGTGTTTAATATTCTCTCGATGACCTATCTGTCCCTTGGCCTTGGCCTTTAGAATCAATATAACACTTATTTTCCAAAGCAGCCTTCAGCAAAATAAGTACACAAGAAAATTGAAATGAAAGCAATTAAGGTGTAGCCCTAATGCACTTAATTTGAATATATATATTCGCATTTTTTTGTCTTTGTTTCTTGTGGCTTCAAAAGCGCCTCGAGACGGTTTTCTGTGGCAGGCGCTATATAAATATATGACCATTGACCATACAGTTTTTATTTATTAATACATTTGTTTAGGAGACCAAGCAGATGGCCATCCTCAAGCCTGAAGTTGGTCACCATGTCCTTTGATAAGCTAAAGAACATGACAAATAAACATGCTTGCCATCCCCATAATGTGGCATCATTGTATACTTTAGTACAGAGAAGCTATAATACTTTTACTCATAACTTTGGCATTTGTATGTTGATTCCAGTAATTGACCCATCATTTTAAAGCTTACGATACTTCAATCAATACGGAGAATAAGAATATATTAAGAAGTCAATTTTCATTTTTTTGGCACTGATGTTGGTATTAGGATATCAATTTTTTTTTTTCTATTACAATATTACAAATAAACCCGTTGTGTATGTTGCCCAAACCTGACCGGGCAAAAAAGTTTATAACAAACCACATGGGTTTGGCTTTTTCTTTTGACAAACATTTTGTTACCAAAAGAAAAAAAACATCCAGTGTATGATGTTTAAATGGATAAAGCTATACCAACCAAAGTGTATGGGGATGAGTGACAGTTAACAATGGATCTTAGGCCTGTTATTAAAAAATATTAATTGTAATGGCAGTCTGACCAACCCTGCCTATGTCACTGTAATTGGGTAACCCGGCCAATTTTTTGCCTTGTTTAATTATAATTTATTTTCTTTCTCATTTCAAACAGAATAACAAAATTAGCAACTTTTCCAGATTATTTGATGCTTCATTTGAGGAAGTTCACATTAGGTGATGACTGGGTTCCTAAGAAACTAGGTTCGTAAATTTTACATTCAACATTTTTAAATAGTGTCAAAATTGTGAGCTACAGAACTTAAAAATGACTCCATATTTCTGCAAGGTGTTTGTGAATAGACTTTTGTGAATACTTAGCTGGATGAGGCAAGGCTTTTTTTTATACCTTGTTTAGCGAATCCACTGCCTGCCAGTAATGGATGTTCTTGGTCAAACCATTTGCTAAATAAGAAAATAACATTTTATTATTTTTTTCCGGCCTCCTCTGACTATCTTTAAAGAACTAAGTTCGCAAAAAAAAGTATGAAAAAAGTCTCCCCTAAACCTCTAAATGTTTCCTGTAAGACCCTGGTATTCAAACTATGGGTCATGACACAAAATAGTGTCACTGAAATATTTTGTAGTCTCGCTAGACGATTATGTAAAATAAAATCCTGGTTTTACTTAAAAAGAGTGTGTTCATAATTTAATTTGTGTTATAAATAGAACATAAATTGTTTTAATAACAACTAGCCGAAATGTCACAGTTGATGATATCGGGCTGATAGCCAGAAGAAACGTCCTGGAAAGGTAGACAAATACTGGTTTATTTATAAAGAATACCAATCACATTTCACTATTTCAAAACCAGATTAAATTGTTTGACTAACATAAATTGTATTCTATAAATAGAATATAATTTCTGTCCTATAAATAGAATCATGTTTGTGTTCCATAAATAGATACTAGAACTTTGATCTGTTCTATAATTTGTGTTATATAAATAGATGTATCAGTGGATATGCCTGATGACCTTGATTTGACCTCAATACGTGGAAAAGGTTTACAACCAGGTGAGGTAGAGCTACCAGAAGGGGACGCGCCAGCAGAACCAGGTTTGTTGATAGAGTCGTCTGAAACTCAAAGAGAAATTTGTGATTAAAAGAATGGATCTGTAACATCATATGATATAAACACTCTTCTTCAAATTCTTTTGTTCTGGTTTGAAATAAATGTACAACTAATGTAATGTAGTTAGATATGTATAGCACTTTATACCAAAAGTCTGAAAGAATTTGGGGTTGGGATTAGCTCATACAGTAACCTGCTCCTCCCCTAAGGGTCTCCTAATGTCTGAGGTACCTGGTAAACTGGTTCTAGCTACTCTTGTATGTCCACTACAGGGGC